TTAATATGGGATTTCACTCTGTGATGCAGGCTGAGAATGCAGGGATGCAATCACTGCTCACTGCAGCCCTGACCTCCAGGCTCAAGGGATCCTCTCATCTCTCTCAGCCTTCCGAGTTGTTGGGACTACAAGCATGCACCATCACACCTGGCTAATTTGTATTGTTTGTAGAGATGGAGTTTTGCCATGTTGCCCAGTCTGGTATCCAACTCCTGGGCTCAAGCTGGCCACCTACTGTTGTCTCAAAGTGCTAGGATTACAGGCGTGAGCCATTGCACCCAGCCTTTAGAATAAAGAACAGAAACATTAAATGATAGATGGTCCATAAAGAGCTACTCAAGCTTTGGAGTGTATAAATCCTGATGAGTATTATTAGCTTCTTAATTTCTAGTTTCTGTGTAAACTCATGGTGCAATCAATTATAGGTATTATATATTATTCTTACTATAATTCTTAATAAACAGTATTATTTATTCAGTATGTCATTAGCATTCAATAATGTTTATATGAAGAATGGTTTTGTATTCTGGCGGCTTATATCTTTGCATATTTCTATTGCTGGTAGTCTTTAGAATAATACATGTAATAAGTAGTGAAATTATTATCTTCTATAATTGACTACAATAAAGACGTAGTACAAAGTAAGTATTCTATATAAATGAAAGGAATGTGTTATAGGAACTTACTAAATGATACTTTTATTCTTACAGGTTTTCAATAAACTGCTAAGTCTGGCTAGTACTGCCTCATCTCAGAAGTTCCAGTCACATATGTGGAGTCAGATGTTGGTTTCCACATCTGGGTTTTTGAAATCCATTTCAAATGTCTCTGGCAAAGATATTCAGCCATTAATAAAGCAGTGGGTGTATCCTTTCAATAACATTTCAGCAAAGTGGGGAAGGGGATAAGGTATGTGTGCAGGGGGGAGATGGAAGAAGAGAGACTCGAGGGGCCTAAAGGGAGTATGAACTGTTGATATTTCTAAACAGTGGTAGAAATAGTGATGAACTGTGGATTGTTTCATCTAAGATGCCTACTAGACGTTAAGGTGCACACATATATGTTTATATTTGTAAAGTTTGGCATATTTTAAAGTACTTTCTAGTGAATAAAGAATATGTGAGTAAAAAAATTGGTTTGATGGTAGTATAGGTAAGTAATCTACCAGACAGGCCTGTAGGATTACTTGTGAGGTGCAGCAGTTTGCTGACTTGTGGATGTGGTTGGGTTGGCACAATTTGAGTGATATCTTGGAATTTTTCAGTTATTGCATTTTTCATTTCAAAACACCATTATATTAATAACCTTGTATAATGGTTCTGCTTCTTTCAAAACACAAATTTGTCAAAGTTTCGGAAATTATATTTAAATCTGGGAAAGCATTTTTCACAAGAATTTTGAATACTTTGCCACCTGGTTTACAATAGAGTATGCTCTCAAACTTTGAACTGGTGGGAATGCCTTTGAAAATTTATCAATACCATGATGAATTACTTGTTTCGCACGCATTCGTTTCAGTATGTAAAATTTCCTTTACAATTCTTCAGAGATCAGAGTGGAGTGGTAAAATTTTATGGAAGTTTTGCGTTTAATAGAAAACGAAATGTCTTGGAATTGGAAATAAAACAGGACTATACATCTCCTGGAACTCAGAAATATGTGGTAAGTGTTTTTCCAAAATGGCCTTTGTATTGCTATCACCTCAGTTTCAATATAAGAGGAACTTAGGCGCTGGGCGCGGTGGCTCACGCCTGTAATCCCAGCACTTTGGGAGGCCGAGGCGGGTGGATCACGAGGTCAAGAGATCGAGACCATCCTGGTCAACATGGTGAAACCCCGTCTCTACCAAAACTACAAAAAATTAGCTGGGCATGGTGGCGCGTGCCTGTAATCCCAGCTACTCGGAAGGCTGAGGCAGGAGAATTGCCTGAACCCAGGAGGCGGAGGTTGCGGTGAGCCGAGATCGCGCCATTGCACTCCAGCCTGGGTAACAAGAGTGAAACTCCGCCGTCCCAAAAAAAAAAATAAGAGGAACTTAGGGATGGGTTACTAGTTAAAAATTAAATAGATTTTGTTTGCAGAGAATGAATTGAGAAAACATTGACTTTGTCAAAGACGAGACGACGAGGTACAGAGATTTCAGGCGACTCAGAATCTTCCAGTTGCCCCCTTAGGCACCTATTACCTATCTAGATCTGCATATACTCATTTTGTGTAATATCATTTTATATCTTGATCTATATTTCTCTGTACACATAAGCATACATATTGATTTTTTTTTTTTAATAACATCTCTGAACAGTATGTTGTTGTTTTTAAAGGGACCACTTAAAGTGACAGTGCAGGAGTTAGATGGATCCTTCAATCATACATTGCAAATTGAAGAAAACAGCCTTAAACATGATATACCCTGCCATTCCAAAAGCAGAAGGTAGGCATTAAATAATAACTATAAACTGAAAGTTAAACTACAAATCTCACAGACTAAAATGCCAAAATAAAATTTCTATTGTATACCTAATTTTTTTAGACAGTCTTGCTCTGTTACCCAGGCTGGAGTGCAGTGATGCTATCTCAGCTCACTGCAACCTCTGCCTGCCAGTTCAAGCAGTTCTCCTGCCTCAGCCTCCCAAGTAGCTGGGATTACAGGTGACTGCCACCACGCCCAGCTAATTTTTATATTTTTATTAGAAACAGGATTTCACCATGTTGGCCAAGCTGGTCTCAAAGTCATGACCTCCAGTGATCTGCCTTTCTCGGCCCCCCAAAGTGCTGGGATTACAGGCATGAGCTACCATGCCAGCCTGTGTATACCTAATTTTCTAGGTAGAGAACATGTTATCTAGTACCTTTTTATCTTCCTTTTATTTCCAATTTATATTACCAAACATTCTTTGTTTGCTTGCTTTCTTGATGACATTTTTATCTTTAGAATTAAATAACAATATTTGGCTGGGCATGGTGGCTCACACCTGTAATCCCAGCACTTGGGAGGCCAAGGTGGGCAGATCACTAGGTTAAGAGATCAAGACCATCCTGGCAACATGGTGAAACCCTGTCTCTACTAAAATACAAAAAATTAGCCAGGCGTAGTGGTGCACACCTGTAACTCCAGCTACTCGGGAGGCTGAGGCAGGGGAATTGCTTGAGCCCAGGAGGCAGAGGTTGCAGTGAGCTGAGATCATACCACTGCACTCCAGCCTGGCAATAGAGCCAGACTCTGTCACAAAAAGAAAAAATAAAAAATAAAAAAGAATTAAATAAATTTTAACATTTAGGCTTGAGAATCCTTATTTTGTTGGATGGTTGAGGCCGAGGGGCTAGAATGGAAGTTTGAGTTTTTGGTGCTAGAAAAAAGTTCAAGACAAATAGCTCAGGTTCATCCTTATTAGTCTTGTTGGATTAATACCTACAGGAAATATTAGGAAAGTGATGATTGAAAGGAAAGAGCTGAATATGTTATGCAAAGCCTCTGCATACTATTTTTTTTGCTTACTATTTTTTTTCTTTTTTCTCTATATCACCATGCCACTTCAGAACATTCTTGATGTCTTTCAAAGGCAAATTGCCACTTTTCTTTAATATATTTTTCATTAACCACTTATTTAAACAACAATTAGTATGTACTCTGAATAGTGAGAGATGAGAACATTTCTGTACTTTGCTGGAGAAAGATGAACCTTCAGGAACGGAAGTTTTATTTTATTCATGACTGTGTTTAGTTCACTCAGATAAATGAGAGTGTCTGTGTCTGTTGATTTTGAAGTCCTTTAGAGAACTGGATCCTGAAATCTTCTTATAGTCATTCTTAACTCTGAGAAACTTCTTTTCTTAATTCAGAGTGAGATTCTCAACTTCTTTTTGTCCTATCTACCTTGGAAATTGGTAACATTTGATTGCTATCCTTAGGTTTTTTTTTTCTCTGTAATAACAGAATGTCGATTGGGTATTCTTTGATATGAAGAACATAGGAGGACTTTTCTCCGTTCCTCTCCTTATTTGCCCTTCCCCAGTTAACATAAAAATATTTGCTTTTGCTTTTGCTTATCTTGTATCTTGTGTGTATTAATTGGTTCTACATATTAATCAATGCTCTTAAGATATTTTATTTGTTAATTAGTTCATATATGACAGAACCTTCCATATATGCAGCAGACAGCTCAGAATTATTCATATCCCATTTCAAGCCGGATCCTTTTACCATTTAAGAGTTTCCTTTATTGATAGATCTCCTTTTCTATATAAAATTGCAGCTACCAGTTCTTGAAATATATGTTTTAGGTTGACATTTTATTACATATTTATGCTTCTTGTTAACATTTGATCAGGAAAATAATTTGATATTTACTTCATTTCCTCCAGCTTTAAAATAAACAGACTTTGTTCTATTTAAATTTTGTTACATTTGACAGCTGTTTTTCCTAAGGATAGGATAGCTTTCCAAGTTGTGTGAAATCCTTTATTCGAACTTTAACTGCTGTTAATCTCCATTCAGAATTAGAAGTCTCACAATTTTCCAACCTCCTTTTTCTTAAATGTAGGAATAAAAAGAAAAAAATCCCACTGATGAATGGAGAAGAAGTTGACATGGATCTTTCTGCAATGGAGTAAGTTAGTTAACTTAAATATAAGGTTATAATATTTTGTGCATTCTCATTTGTCTCATTTGTTATGCATATGTAAAAGCATATAACTGTTCTCCAAGTGAGTGCTTTAAAATTTTTTCAATTTTATAGAAACCCTATGTTCAAAACAAATTTTATGTAAAATCATATCAAAGAGATAAAAGTAAGTCTGCTAGGGCCTAGGTGAAATTAAGGGGAAATGCATTATAGTTGAGGGGTGGGCACAAGTTTGACTAGGCAGATTTCTTGTTCTCTCTTGGTAGCATCTAGAGCAGTGGCATCAAACTATAACCTGCATATGAATCAGTTGGGGACTGTCCTAAAATGTGGTTTCTGATCCAGTACTACACTAGTGAGGCCTGATAGTTTGTATTTCTCATGAACTCCCAGGTGATATTCTTTGTCTTTAGAACAAAGCTCTGGGGTGCCTTAAGTCTCCCTATGCTTGTAAAACGATTTAAAAACCACTGTTTTAGACTTTATGTGATAATATTTATTGATTGACAGTGTTTTATTTTAAATATAATACATCTCAAACTTTCTAATTTTGCCCAGTCTGTAGCTGTATACTTTTTTATAAAATCTCTGTAATTGGCCGGGCATGGTGGCTCAAGCCTGTAATCCCAGCACTTTGGGAGGCCGAGGCGGGTGGATCACGAGGTCAAGAGATCGAGACCATCCTGGTCAGCACGGTGAAACCCCGTCTCTACTAAAAAAATGCAAAAAATTAGCTGGGCATGGTGGCGCGTGCCTGTAATCCCAGCTACTCAGGAGGCTGAGGCAGGAGAATTGCCTGAACCCAGGAGGCGGAGGTTGCGGTGAGCCGAGATCGCGCCATTGCACTCCAGCCTGGGTAACAAGAGCGAAACTCCGTCTCAAAAAAAAAAAAAAAAAAAAAAATCTCTGTAATTATTTACTAACTTGATTGATAGATGATTATTATTGTTTATATATAGATTATGTTCATTTGCCCTTCAAGATCAGTGTTAATTTTTTTTTGAGACAGAGTCTTGCTCTGTTTCCCAGGCTGGAGTGTAGTGGTGATGTCTCGGCTCACTGCATGCCTGGCTGCATGCTGCCATGCTTGGCTAATTTCTGTATTGTTAGTGAATAGAATTTGGGGTCTTGCCATGTTGGCCAGGCTGGTCTTGAACTCCTGACCTCAAGTGATCCACCCACCTCCGCCTCCCAGAGGGCTGGGATTACAAGCGTAAGCCACTGCACCCGGCTTAGATCAGTGTTAATTTTGATTTTTCCATAGCAAGTACCTTGCCTGTAGTAAAAACCCAGTAATATGTGCTGAATTGAATTAATATTACAGGTGGTATTCTTCGGATGAAGGTGTTGACGTAGACTAGATTTTTTAAACTATGTTTGTTACTTTGAGAAGTACATGAAAATAAATTTGTGATATGCCTCCAAGTTATGATTTCAGAACTTGCTTGATAAAGGTGATCATGAGTCTAGTATTTTTAAAAAGTTTTAAGTCATCTGAACAAATTAAGAAATTCGTCTCTTCTTCTTTTTTTTTTTTTTTTTGCATCATATACTCACAAATCAAAATCATTAAAGTAATTTCAGATGGGAAATGAGAGATTCAGTGTCCTTTGTAAAAGATGATTAATATTTTCTTGAAGATCTTTTTAACAAGATTGATATAGATCAGACATGGTGAGAAAGTTGATATATGTTAAACATAATGAGAAATTTGTCAGTGCAATTTAAAAAAATGAATATAGTAAAACTTCAGGCAGTTTTGAATATTATATCTTGGTTAATAAATGCTTTGTATTTATTTTCTAAATTAAAAAGAAAATTACATTTTCTTTCAGTGCCGATTCCCCTTTGCTGTGGATAAGGATAGACCCAGATATGTCAGTACTGAGGAAGGTAGAATTTGAGCAAGCTGATTTCATGTGGCAGTATCAACTCCGCTATGAGAGAGATGTTGTTGCACAACAGGAATCCATTTTGGCTTTGGAAAAGTTCCCTACTCCAGCGTCTCGGCTTGCACTGACTGATATATTAGAACAAGAGCAGTGTTTCTACAGAGTAAGAATGTCAGCTTGCTTTTGTCTTGCAAAGGTGAGATTATGTATAGCAGAAAGAAGACAAGATGACTATCATATGTATTTCTTTATATCTCTGAAAATGAATTAAAATTCACGTAGTCTTTAAATTTATTTGGTAGCCAATTCTTTGAAAGCTTTTGCCAAATGCCTTTAAATTAGTAGGACTATTTTGAAAGAAACCCGTTTTGACCTGAAAACAGATATGCAGAATAATTTTATAATTGTCAAAATGAAATTAGATTTT